GGATGCAGAACGCAATTCACTGTTTAAAAGCATTAGAAAAGCTGCACTAAAAAAATCTGTGAAACAGCGAAGCCGCGGAAAGTGAACCGCGTTAGAGCGAGGGATCACTGTATACATACGTGAATGTGCATGTATACATAAGACTGGAAACCACATTACATAGCTGACTCGGTCGTCATCGAATTAAGAGTTTGTTTTTGTTTTTTTTTAAGTCGTTCGGCTGGAAGTACACTGCATTACAGTCGTAAATTGTCGTAGGTACCTCATGGACTCAACATGTAACCTAATTTTTTTTTCTGTGGACGTATTGTTATGACAGCGAAGGACTCAAACAGTATTGTCTTGCATTGATATTCTGCCAGTTCACTTCACAGTCGTCGCGATGGCTATTCTTTACCACTCAAAATACATTCACACACAAACAACAGCCCAAATGTCAGTCAAGTTGTTTACAGTATTGCAGACAGAAAATATAGTCCACTGTACACACTCACTCACACACCTACATTCACAATGCATACAATGCAATTTATACACAGATACATCTATTTACTGTATGTGCTTTTTTTCCCCCTTAAGTTGTTGTCTTGCAGGAAGGGCATATCCCCTCGGAGACATCCCTGAGGATCTTGTGGTTCAGGTCAAGATTCAGGTATCTCAATATCAGCTATTTGGAACAATCGAGGGGCGCTGGTTTTTCGATTCCCGGACAAAGTAGGCTTCAACAATGTAAATGCTTTTACAAGTAGGGCTAAAAAAAAATTGTCATGGTTCTAAAATCAGCACCAGAAGTTCATGTTTGCTGCACATTTTTTTTCTTTGACTCTCTGACTCATCGATGAAATTTAAGACATTTGGGCAAGGTTTATTACGTGTCATCTCACAGGAAATGTAATGTTAGTACGGAGCAAGCCTTGTAGAGCCAGTTGTCACAGCCGTTGTTACGGCCGCGAGGGTTAACTTCAAAATAGATGTGAAGCAATACTGTACATGGATAGCAATCCCTTCCTTACATAGCCTTTATTTTAAAGATGGCCCTCACAAATAAGCAATTGTTTTGGTGGCTGACTTAAGTTGAGCTACAACATGCGTAGTGCGCAAAACTGCGATGACTGACTTGAACTTCCAGTGCTCATGTGCACCGTCGCACCGCATACACGCCTGTTTGCAGTAAATGTTTTACAGTATATGTAGGCATCAAGGAGTAGCAACCTCAAATCTTGTTGTACACAACAACAGCAATTTTGTTTCTCAATCTGATTGTTACTTAATATTTGTGTTTGGGAACATTACCTGAAATAGCAACAACACTAAAGCAATTGTATTTACAAATTCAGGAAAATGTGAAGAAAGTGGGTCTACAGTGCACCCAATTTGGGCGCACACGCGCTCTAATTCCACAATGGTGCAATTGAAAAAAAAAAATCTGAGGTTGCACAATGTGCAACTTGTCAATGGAGGATGGAAAAAACATCTCCTCGACTCTTAAGCCTCACATACAGACACACATGTTGTGGTCTCAACCAATCAGATTGCTCCCCTGACTGGCCGTGGCCTTGATATTCTTGCACCTTTTTTTTTTCCTTCAATAAATTCTCAGCACAACTTGCTACTCACTCGTGTCGGTAAACATGTGGAGTTGTTCCTCTTACATCATACAGCAAGCAGCACAAGCAAACAGACACAGACAGCATGGTGAAATAAAAATAATGTGTGGCAATCTCATTGCGTTCTGTGAGACCACGAGGCACACAACACAGCCCGCTTCCAATAGCTGCCAAATAGGAGCAGCAAGGCAGTGAGGAAGTATCTGTGTATTTGAGAATTGTGTTTGCCATATTTGAAACATATGCTTCAATGAAGGTTAAAATTCGAATATAGGCTAATCTTCTATTTTGGGTTCATATTTTTATGTCCTATTCCAGGGGAATAGTACCTCACCAGTCATGAAGCTCACCTCATGTCACTGGTCAATACAACGTACAAACCCAATTCCAATGAAGTTGGGATGCTGTGTTAAACATAAATAAAAACAAAATACAAAGATTTGAAAATTAAAAAAATGAGACATATTTAATGTTCAAACTGATGAACTTTATTGTTTTAAGCAAATAATCATTAACCTAGAATTTAATGGCATGTTTTAAAAGAATTGGGTCAGGTGGCAAAAAAGGAAAGTTGAGGAATGCTCATCAAGCACCACGTCACACAGGCTGACTGGGAACAGCCGGGTGGGTGTAAAAGGAGCTACCCTGAATTGCTTAGTCATACACAAGCAAAGATGAGGCGAGATTCACCTCTTTGTAAACACCTCCATGAGAAAATCATCGAACAGTTTTAGAACAATTTTCCTCAACGTACAATTGAAAGGAATTTCGAGATGTTATCATCTACATTCCATAATATCATCAAAAGGTTCAGGAAATCTGGAAAAATCACCGCATGTAAGCGGCAAGTCCGAAAACCAACATTAAATGCCCGTGACCTTCGATGCCTCTGGCGCCACTGTATCAAAGACCGACATCAATGTGTAAAGGATATCAGCACATGGGCTGAGGAACACAGCTCGGCACTACGTCCATAAGTGCACCTTAAAACTCGCCTATGTAAAGCAAAAGCTATTTATCAACAACACTCACAAGTGTGAAACAAACAAACAAACAACAAGACAATGCCAAATAACATTCTGCACGTGTTCTAACAGCATGGCTTCGTAGTAAAAGAGTGCAGATACTGTACTAGACTGGCCTGCCTGCAGTCCTGACCTGTCTTCCATTGAAAATGTGTGACTCATTATGAACCGTATAATACGACGGAGACTCCGAGCTGTTGAGAAGCTGAAGTTGTACATCAAGAAATAATGAGAAAGAATTCCACAGACAAAGTTTCAACAATTAGTGTCCTCAGTGTGTGTATTTTATATTAAATATTTGGGAAGTGAGACTCACTTCCCAAATATTTGTTGAATGTTGTTAAAACTAAAGTTGACATAACACAGTGGGAAAAATGACCCAGTCACAGCTTTTTGGAATGTGTTGCAGCAATAACATTTAAAGTTATTACTTGTTTGCTAAAAACAATACAATGTATCAATTTACAACATTAAATATCTTGTCTTTGTTTATTCAATTAAATATCGATTGAACATGATTTGCAAATAATTGTATTATGTTTTTATTTATGTTTAACACAACATCCCAACTACATTGGAATGGGGTTTGTATTATTGTAATAATAATAGGTGAACAGAGGACCCCCTATATTTGAACATGTTGCCATCAAATGAAACTTTTTTGGCTGCAATATATCATGTAATGTCCTATTAACTTTGATTTAGTGCAGCCTCTACACTCTAGACTGAGCTAATTTTCTCTCTGTGTTTGTCAGGTATTTGAGTACTTGATTCTGCTCCATGCAGGGGAATCATCGTCAGATGCTTACCCTCTTATTCATACACTGCTCCACTTTGATACTCGAGAATTCCTAAATGTTCTTGCTATGGTGAGTTTTCCTGCACGCATTTATTTACTTGACTATTTTATCTTATTTGTTCTTCGGTATACAGCGATCATGGTTGCTCAGGTGTATGATTAAAATAAATGAATACCCCTGAATGTTACATGCTGTTTCAGATGTCTGTTTTAAATAAAAAGACTGTTTCTACGAATCAGATGAAACTTTCATGACAACCAGAGAGAGGGGGAAATAATAGCCACTGTAAAGATCCATCCATTCTATGTACCGTTTATCCTTAGTTGCACTGCGGGTGTGCTGAAGCCTAACCAGGCGACTTTGGGCGAGAGGCGAGGTAAACCCTGAACTACTCCCCAGCCAATCGGAAGGCACATATAGATATACAACCATTCAAATTCATACTTAGGGACCATATAGTGCCTTTGGTTAACCTACCATGCACTCACGACCTCTGAACTGTGAGACAGATGTGCGAACCAGTTGGCCTCCATGAAGATGATGATCAAAAATGTGAGCCTTTGCATTGATATTAGTCATAGCTAGGCATGGGCCAATTACTTTTTTGACGGTTTGTCGTGAATATAAAGACAGGTTTCTCTAACCGCAAACACTGAATGTCACAATGATGTGATGAGCCAGGTCCGCTGCGTCCTCCAGGGTAAGCTCCTGACGCGGGAGATCCTCCCTGATGACATCAAGCCATCTGGTGTGGGGTCTTCCGCGTGGCCTTTTCCAGCTGGCTGTAGCTGGGTCGAATGAAAAGATGGCACAAGTGGGGTGTTCCAGGGGTAACCGTGGCTCATGACCGTGGTCATTGGCGGGCCCTGGTGAAGCTGATCGGATCTACGCACTGTGACGACCCCGCCGATTGAGACCAGGCCCTTGCATCCCAGGAGCATTTATTATTGTGATTAATTATGTCTACTTTTCTTTTTTGAGGGGTCATGGATTGTACATAATGAACACCATGCTCAGACATTAGGGTGTACTTGGCACCAGGACACCCTAGGCCTCAGTTGGATGATCTACTTTATAGTCATTTCATCAGAGCTCAAGGCCACATCTCTTGGACACTGGGGTGAATAGAGGAAGGAGCTGTCAACTGATCACCTCCTGGTGGTGTACAGTATTGGCTCAGATAGTGGGGGAAGATGTCAGTCCAACCTGGTAGACCCAAATGTATTTTGAGGGTCTGCTGTGAAGATCTGGCAGAGCCCCCTGTCAGAGGGAGTCTCAACTCCCACCTCTGGTAGAACTTACAGACCGGAGCTATAGCCATAAGGTGGTCAGTGCCAGGTGTGGTGGCTGTCCATGAACCCTTTGGTGTACACCAGCAGTTTGGACAGCCGTTAAGCTGAAGAAGGAGTTGTCTCGGAAAAATCTTCCGGACAGCTTTTAAGAACTTCTGGACAATCTGGTGTCTCAGGTGATGGTAGCAGTGCACTATGAGCACTGCTGATCTTGATCTTTGAAGACCTCCTCAGTTCCGCCAACAAACCCTCCCGTGAGGAAATAGAGTCTGGGGACTCCAAGGTGGGCTCTCGTATCGCTGGGGTTGAAGTCAGTGACGTGGCTAAACAGCTCCTCAGTGGTAGGGCTCCAGGGGTGCATGAATGAACTCTGTCCAGAGATTTTAAACGCTGTGGGGCTGTCTTCGCTGACACGCCTCTGCAACATCGCATTGATTGGGAAAGTGGAGTAGTGGTCCCCGTTTTTAAGGAGATCTTGACTTGAGTCATATTCCAACTACAGAGTGATCACATTCCTCCTTGATAAGGTCTATTCAGGAGTGCTAGCGAAGAAGGTTCGTCGGGAAGTTGAATCTCACATTCAGGAGTAGCAGTGTGGTTTATGCCTGGGCGTTGAAAGGTGGCCTAGCCCGACATCTTGGGCAGAGAAGCTCGCCCAACAAGTGTTTTGTGGACTTGGAGAAGGCGTTTGACGTGTCTCCCTGGGAATCTTTTGGTGGGTGCTTCGGGAGTACAAGGTATCTAATCCCGGCAGTTTGACACCCAGAGTTTTGATTCTCATAGCCATGGGTAAAGATAGTATCTCACTGAGTGGTGAATGCTTGCGAACGTAGCAAATTCGGGGGGGTCAGGGTTTTATAAAAGGTTGCAAAAGGTTTCAAAGATTGTCGTTTTTACTGAATGCTGTTGGAGGCAGCGAGGAGGGAGAGGATGTTGTGGTCGGCGGGATCCTTTCGCCGTCTTCTGCGTCCTCCGAGTCCTCCGCGTGTTCATTTGAATTTGGGCTGAGTTGAGGTGTGAAATCAGGGCTGGAAATGGAGAAGTTGCTTCAAGAAGATTTAATCAGAACGTTCAGGGCACAAGTGTGATACAGACAATTGCTGTGGTCAAGTCACAAATGCGCAGGGTCAATATCCCAAGGCAAATCTTATATACTCTAAACAGGGCGTAGCTGTCAATGGATACTTCACTTTCTCTTGCCCGAATTGCTGTCGCGGCATATTCATTTTCCCTAAAAGCTGTCCCAGCTTGTTCGTTTTCGAATAGTCGTTGCAGTACTTTTGTTGTCCTTGAAATTAGAAACTGTTCCGGTGTTTGTTCGAACAGGACTTAGGTGTGAAACCGCAAGTCAGCGAAGGGGATGCATGCAGAGCGTTATCTGATATTCATCTGCTAAATTGACCACATTGGTCTTGCCACTGAAGTCTGTAATCTGCCCATATTTAGTCATGCTGTATGACTTTCCCATGTCCGCGGTGTATCATGGCGTCCTTGTAACAATCATCACTTAAAATTAAAATACTCCCTGCCGCAGACGCACAAACATTGGAATGAGCCAAGCTGAGAATCGGTTTAGGACAAACGAAAGTTATGATGTCACACTTTGTGCCTCAGTACCGCCCTTCTGATAATATAAAAATGATGTGATTCTCTTCCTGCTTCGCACTTGTGACCCACAGCCATTGTCTGTAATTCACTGATGCCCAGAATATTCTGTTATTAAAAGCTTTGAAGGAACTGTTCATCGATTCCAGCCTTTGTTTGAAGAACCAACATTCTCCTCATCCGAAATTCAACGAACACGCGGGGGAAAGGAGGCCGCTTTGCCCCAACATCACTATGGCATTTCAAGTCAAGGTCACACCACAAGGTTCAACGCGAGGTCACGTCCTAAGTCAAGATGTGTCTGTTTAAAATTATACTGTCAATCTGATAATGCACATAGCTAAATGATGGCTTCAGTGCAAACAGTTTTTCTTGTCGCAAAGAAATTTTGAACTTTGAGAGCATGACTAAAATGATCATTCATGATCCTTGGTGTCGTTTGACAAAAGCATGTCACAGAAATGTTGAATGCATACAAGTCTTATTGTTATTACCAGAAGGCCTCAGATTTCTTCAATGGGGGAAAAACACAAAAACATTTTTTTTATGTGGAATACATGTACTGTTCCCGTGGTTGAATTATTGTGAATTTGGATATTTTTAACTAAAATGTCACTTTGTGTCGACTAATTTTTCCCACTCAAGATTAATTTGTTTAAAAAAAGTACATTATTGTCGATACACAATGGCATTTGCAATCTGTTGGATCAACTGCAATATCCAGTTTCTAATGTCTGTTTCATTGCTCCAACTGTGAGTGTTTGAATGGAGACCCACCCCCCCACCCAAAAAAAAAAAAGAAACAAAAAGTGTAAAAGATGAATATTTTTACTACAAAGGTTAATTTGTTTAACACAAACGAAACTGGTATAGTTTGGTGCTTTACTCGAGGACACTGTGGTGGTTCTTAAGAATCCTTCAGCAACCAGTCCAGCCTCCACATTTCTTAGTCCAAAATGGTCTTGAGTTTTTTGTTTTCGTTACATTCCAGGGACCTCTTTATTTTGTCTCTGGATTGGGTCTGGGGACGCGGTTTCTCAGTCCATACTACAAACCCAATTCCAATGACGTTGTGTTAAACATAACAGAAAATGATTCACAAATCATGTTGAACCTACAGTATATTTGATTAAATACACTTACAAACACGAGATATTTCATCTTAAAACTGATTAACTTTTTTTAAGCAAATAATCATTAACTTGGGATTTTGTGGCTGCAATACATCATATTCTGTGCTTCATAATGTGCCACACATTTTCAATGGGAGACAGGTCTGCTGCAAGCAGGCCAGTCTAATCCCCACACTCTTCTACGATGAAGCCACACAATTGTAAGACATGTAGAATATGGTTTGGCATTGTCTTGCTGAAATAAGAAGCATCTGTTTCTCCAAAACCTGGATGTTCCTTTCAGCATTACTGTAATGGCGCCCTCGCAGATGTGTAAGTTATCCATGCCATTGGTACTAGCACAGCCCCATACCATCACAGATGCTGGCTTTTAAATTTTGCGTCCATAACAGTCCGGATGGTTCTTTTCCTCTTTGGCCTGAAAGACACGATTTCCTCCAAAAATTAGAAATGTGGACTCGGCGCACGACAAAACACGTTTCTATTTTGCAGCAGTCCTCCTTAGATGAGCTTAGACCCAGTGAAGCTGGCTGCGTTTCTGGCTGTTGTTGCTAAATGGCTTTTCCTTTGCATCATGGAGTTTTAAGTTTAAGTCACACTTACAGATGTAGCGCTGAACTGTACTTACTGACATTGATTTTCTGAAGTATTCCTGGACCTTTTCCACAATGATGTCGGTTTTTGATGCACTCGAAGGTCACGCACATTCAATGTTGTTTTTGTCCCTTGCCGCTTACATGCGGCTATTTCTTCGGATTCTCTGAACCTGTTGATGACATTATAGACCGTGGCTGTTTAAATCCCTAAATCCCCTGCAATTATACGTTGAGGAACATTGCCCTTAAACTGTTGGACTATTTTCTCACACGGTTGTTCACAAAAAGGTGAATCTTGCCCCATCTTTCCTTATGAGTGACTGAGTGACTAAGAGAAGCTCCTTTTATATTCATCCATGGCACCCACCTATTCACAGTTAGCCTGTTCACCTATGGAATGAGGTTTAATGAGTATTCCTCAACTTTTTTTCCACCTGTCCCAACATTTTTGGAATGAGTTGCAGCAATCAAATTAATATCAATGATTATTTGCTAAAAATAATCAAGTTTAACATTTTGAACATTAAATATCACATCTTTGTTGTATATTCAACTGAATATGGGTTGAACATGATTTGCAAATAATTGTATTCTGTTTTTATTTGTTTAACACAACTTCATTGGAATCTCACTTAATTTTCCTTTAGTAGTTGGAATACGGCCTTCAATCTCCTTCTTAAAAAGGGGGGCCTGAATTTTATCAACAAAATGTTACAATTTTTGTTTAAATAGCATTCCCTATTTGCTTACAAAATTCGCACTTGATACTAAACATGCTAAAGATGAAGTGTATTCAATGTTCACACTACTTGAAATTTTCACAGAAAAAAAATCCCACGCCCTATTGTTCACTATTCTTTCAAGTGAAAATTTGACATAGGCCTTTGTGCAATTTTGCTTATGCATTCCTGGTGAGCACCAACATGTAACTTCAAATTTGCTGCGCAAAATCCAAACTAAATAAGGAAACACATTCCCTGCCATATTTAAGATTTCTTCATTACTTGTATTCATAAAATGTTGTGTAAATGTGAAAAAAAGCTGTTGATACTTACCTCAGACAGTGATAGTGAGGTCCCAAAACTGTTTACTATATATGGGTTATGAATGCATTTTCCGTGTAGAATGACATCGTCACACACTACACAGAGCTTTTACCAACGACATCGAGCTTTTTCACAAAATCCGACACAAGCACAGACAATGGTTCCTCTTTACTGGTTCCTACTGGGGACATCGTCAGCTTTCTATCCAACCAGTCCCATCGAAACTTGTTTTTCAGATCCACATCTATCTGACACACTTTAGCTTCGACATGAGTCTTAATCACATTCGGCATTTGTTTAATACAGACTACGTACACAAGTCATTTCAATACACTACATCCCTAGTGCAAAACCATTAATAACGCAGGAAAGGGGTTTAGGAAGGCGAACAAAGATTGGTTGTGATTCTGCATTTGCCGATATAGCGACCAATCATAACAAGTAAGACATTGGTTTTAGCCCATATACGAAGTAACGACAAACTAACGCTTTGCGAGAAAAAAACGGTATTCAAAATGGATGCTTGCCAACTTTATTTGTAAACTACGTGTCCCAGTCTTCCGAAGTCCGACAGCCCAGAAATAACACCAGACACTACCCCGCCCCCCAAAAAAAAATTTCAACGGATTTGGAACAATATAAAAAAGGTCCATTTTGACTGGAAAAAAGCGGAATTCCGCCAAAAAGCTGAAAAATCTCATCCCTGCCCCATGTGTCTAAACATGGTATTCCGATTTCTAATGTGTTTGCGGAAAATTAATTATGCAGAAAAGTTCACCTGTTTGCATTCAGATCAGCAGGTGTGGCCATTTTGCTTTGTACTAACACGTAGTGATGGCAAAATGAAGCCCCATAAAGCAGTGAAGCCCTGCAGGGAAATACTTCACACACGCTTCGGGGCTTCAAGATGAATCATTTCCTCGACTACGCCATCATGTGGACAGGAAAATGTATAACATGCTTGGTGCATGCAATAAAATGGTGGGGTGTAAATCATGCTCTGAACACATAATAATATGTATTTGAGGAGTGTTTTACATGAATTGTTCTGTGTTACTTTGTCTATGTTTGTGCTTATGCAACAAATTAAAATGTGAAATGAGGTAAAATAAAGTGCTTATTCGTTTTTATTTAAAAACAATATTTTATCCAAATTTTTTGGACTCAGGCGGTTTCTTTTTTTGCAGAGAATTTCACCTGCTTTTGAACAAACTCTTTCACATGGTACTGATGAAGCAGGGGTGCATAGATATGTGATAGCAAGTTGGTATGAAGGGGAATCCATAGCGTTTCTTTGTCACTTTTATTTCGAACAACACTCGAACCTATCGTATCATTTCCTGAATCAGTCATGTGGTACACCCCCTTCGTGGGGCTTCAAACGTCACAACTGACGTCATTAACACGCGCTTCGACTCCCCATTCATGAACCACTCATCTAGATTACTCGGCACACGCTTCAGGGATTCGACCCGTGGAGCACATCACTACTGACACGTGCTGGCAACTGAAAATGACATAACAGTGCCTAAGGGCTCAGCTTGTGGTTGTCAGTGTGACCAAACCCAGAAAGCAGGTGAGTCTTGAGGGTTGTTTCCTGACCCTCAGCAATTGTTGATGTCATTTTTAGTCGGTAAAAACGGGTGGACTTTTTCTGCTTAATTCATTTTACCTCAAATGCAGTATTAATCAAAATACCATGTTTAGACTAATCGTTGTGCATAACACATTATTGTAAGGAACATTTTTGACCTGACTTCCTCTCTAAAAGAAAGCAAACTGTTTTAAAAATAAACAGTCAAAGGAAGAGAAAAGGTTTATTGACCAAAATAAAATTCAGAACACAGGAACACAATTGTCGTGACCTATGGAATACGATGGTTGTGCCAAATTAATTCAGACATACACTAAAACTGGACTTAAAACAGAATTAAACAAAAACCTGTCATTTATTTGCAAAACAGAGCTAAGCCAAAAATTGGTGTTCAATAACAAAGGCCTAGATTTCATCCCGAATCTGAAAATTTGTGAGATTTCAAACACGATCAAAATATAATAATTCATACTTTTTGTAAAGCCTTGGTTCAGTTAAGCGTGGTTTTGACATCATGGTAGTGTTGTCATTTGGAGGAAACAGTCTCTTATTTTTCCATACAATGTTTTTCTTGTTACGTAGGTGATGGTGGACAACCCGGACTTTACACCATCCCAGGTGGGCGGGCTTTTCACGTTTTTGGCTCGGCAGCTGTCTAAACCAGACAACACACTTTTTGTAAACAGAAAATTATTTGACCAGGTAAGCTCTTCCTGTCTGTTTCCATGCTATGCATCACACATAATACAGTGGTAGGAAAACATACTGCAATTACTGTATTTTCTCCACCATAAGGCGCTTCGGATTATAAGGCGCGTCTTCAATGAATGGCCTAATTTAAAACTGTTTTTATATATTAGGCCCACTGCATTATAAAGCGCATGGAATAGAATGGTTGCAATAATGGCTGCGGTTGTGCTATGCAGCCACTAGATGGTGCTATGGTACAGGAGAGTACGAAAGAATACAGTACAGCTTTATTTATTTAGAGCAGTGGTTCTTAACCTGGGTTTGATCGAAACTTTGGGGTTCGGTGAATCGGCCTCAGGGTTTCGACGGAGCGTCTGCCGTGGAGATTAAGACCCACCCGACTTAAGATGTCAATTAGTTATGACACGCCCGCTTAGCCATCACTGGCTGCAGATGATCACATTACATTGCTTGTCCAATCAGTGCTGCGGGAAATTTAGTTCGCTCAGTAGCCACCGTGTGACTGTCGTGATAGTACATCATACAATTTTAAAAAAACAATACTTGTGCCATGTACTTTTATTTACTTTTTTCTGGTTTTAATAAATGTGTTTTTTTTATGTCTTGAATTTGTAAAAAAATCATATTTTTATTTTTCACTCATGAAGGGTTTGATGAACGTGCATATGAACTGGTTGGATTCGGTGCCTCTAACAAGGTTAAGAACCACTGATAAAGAGCCTTCACAACCACTGCAGCTGTTACAAAGTGCTTTACAGAACTCTTAAAATACTACGCCCAAGAAATCAGAAGATTGATCCATATCTAGCTCCCTCAGGATGTAGCATCAAGTGTGACATGAAGTCCATTTATTCAACAAAAAGGCACACAAATTTGTCACATTCGAATGACTCAAGATCTTAAGATCTTCGAATGCCCGCCATTATTGTGTTACTATTATTTTGTATAAGAATTTGTATAACCAACGGGTACAAAGGCAGCAAACATAATTCATCTTTATTGTATTCTGTTCAGGTCTTGGAGTTCCTATGCAGATCAGATGATGCCTCTCGACACACGGAACGACAGCAGGTTTGTGATATGACTTTAATTTATCAGAGATGAAAGACCTCCGGATTTTCCCGGAATTCCGGGTTTTTCAAATTTTTATGAAAATTTCTCCGGAGAATTGAGGAAAATAAAATAAATAATAAAATTTATCCGGATATTAGTTGACAACATTGAACGAAGACGCGTTTGAGTTCGTTGTATTGCTTTCACGAGCGTAGCCATATTTAGGCACTAACACTAGTAACGGTAAAGAGATTTTTGTTTGTGTAATAACGACAGAAGACATGATGGCGTTTGACTAATGGTTTAGTAGAACGAATGGCAACTCGCAACAACAGTAGCAAGCGTCATTTTGCCTCTTGGGTTATACCATCTCAACTAGAACGTGGGGGATAGTCCCCAAACAATTTTCGTCTCTTTATAAATACACCTGCTAAACCCCAGTGGAACGAATAAAAGACGCCGTCAACAAGACAGTTGTAGTAAAAAATATATTTGGCCAAAAAGGGAAAAACACAGATTGGCAGAAAATCGTGTCCGTCCGACTTCGAGTGTCGTCTCGGCTAACTTAGCTTAGCTGTTGTCGTGTGTGACGTCATTTGCGTATACATGGCAATTTTCCGCGGATCCGCGGAAATCCGCCGTTTTATTTCTTAAATTGATCATTTTTGTGAATAGAGCTATGTATATTTGTTTTTAAGCATCACCACTTAGAAGCGACTACCACAGTGCTGATGTTTACAAGGAAAATGTCCTCAGTTGAAATGCCTCTCTGGAATACCTTACCTTTTCTGCAGGCATATTTCTTTCTCCTTCTCTCTTCTGTCCGTCTTTGTGCTATCAGATGCACCCATTATTCATTCATTCATTCATTCATTTCGGAATTTTCAGAAAAGTCCACTTTCATCTCTGTTTAATTTAAAAGCAGTCTTCCTCAGCCGGTCAATAGAGGGGGGCTAGGGTGCCCCCCACACCACTTCAACAAATTACTTTATTTGAAGAGAAAAGAATTAAATTAAAAATCTGAATAATAAAATATAAACATTTCAAAATATATATGTGCATACTCGTGTCCAATTACAGATATTTACAACCGAGTTTCACATTACACTTGGAACCCCAGGAATAATATGCAATTAAAAAAAAAAAAGTTTTTCTCCCTCCCCCCACACAACTGGATTGTACAAAAGTCTATTAAAAATAAGGAAAACTTTTCACATTTACAAGTACAGGGATTCAAAATCTCAGTCACCCCGATGTTACGCACCTCGTCACAATAAAGAGGTGACGGTTTTTGATTGTGTGGTCCGTACTTACTGAAGGACTGATTTATCATCACTAACATGTCCAAAGAAAATGCGAGCTGTCACGAGGACTGCCACTGCTACATATGGCGGAGATATAGCTGGGTAGCTGCTCCACTGCTAACATCCGTCAAGAGTTGTCACTTGGGGTAAAATTGTGTTTAGTGGATGAAGGGGAAAATAATATTACTGTAAAGTTGAATTACAAGCCTTCATCAAAACGATCGAATAAATCTCGGGTCTGTACTTGGGCTTTGTTATTTCCACACAAACTGATTTTTTTGACATCATGACTGGGCTATGTATGTTCTTGGTTTCAAGGTTCTACTGCAGCTGCTCCAGGTCGGAGGTGTGGTCCAGTTTGATGAAGAAAAGCTGTTGACTTTGTCACAGAGAGCCAAGTTGTGAGTAGCTGACAAAAAAAGAAAGAAAAAAGATTTCATTAAAAGCAGGGGTACCAAATCATTTTTACCTTTCATACTGGGCAAATACACAGTAGACAAAGTAAAAAAAAATCTGGCAATAAATAAGATTTTTTTTTTTTTTAATTCATGATAACATGAACTTTTTCCACAACAAACAAGCAACCAGGTTGTGCATTAGCTAGGAAGGCCATATAGCCAGTTCTTTCACACACTGACAGCATCACGTCAGGGTCATATTGAGATTCAAAAACTTCACCCGCTGATGTGCTAGTTGGAACTGATGGAAATCTGGCAATAAATAATATATATATTTTTTTAATTCATGATAACATTAACTTTTTCCACAACAAACAAGCAACCAGGTTGTGCATTAGCTAGGAAGGCCATATAGCCAATTCTTTCACGCACTGACAGCATCACGTCAGGGTCGTATTGAGATTCAGAAACTTCACCCGCTGATGTGCTAGTTGGAACTGATGCAATCCAATAATAACTACCACCAATGATTATGTGCACAAAATAACAATTTGTTGTTTTGTTTTGTCTTTTAATCCTGTTTTAATGATAGATAAATCATTGATGTATTTAGAAATATCTATTTGACTTTGTTTCCCTGTCTTCCAACACAGCTACCAAATTTTGGAATTTCTTTATGAGAAGAAACATATGTATGACAAGACCATTGACTGCTACCTAAAAGACCCTCTGAGAAAGGTAAAAACAAAGCAACTAAAAAAAGTCTAGTAAATCCAACCGGCTCATTTATTTATTGCTTTTAAGAAATGCTTCCATTGACTTCCAAAGTGTAATCTAAGATTTATTGTGTTAGGAATTGAGTAAAAATGAAGGTGACCCCTTTTTAGTTGGTCAAGTGAAAAAAGTATTTCTTTGTGTATGTGAAGGGGGAGATCTTCAGCTATATCGACCACCTGATGTCTATGTCAAGCCACGGGTCTGAGGAGAAGCAAGCAATCAAGAATAAAACACTGCAGCACATACAGGTCAGCTCATGTGCATTGATGAACTCAGGAAAGTCGCCGGTATGCCCTTTATTTGTTGTGGTCTTGCTTTATGATTCATTGTGGATTTAAAATATGTTTGTGTCATCATGAAATGGGGGAAAAAAGGATATATGGGAGAAAGTGTGCATCTATTTTATTCAGGTCATCAATTGAACTGTATACCTGAATAACCAGATGCACCTCCAGATCACTTTTAAATTAGCAGGGTAGACATTCTGGGCCTTTTTACAGCATTATAAATCTTCATCCATCTATTTTCTTATCCGTTTATCCTCATGAGTGTCGTGGGCATGCTGGAGCCTATCCCAGCTGTCTTTAGGCAGTAGGCGAGGGACACCCTGAACCGGTTGCCAGCCAATCGCAGGGCACACAGAAACGAACAACCATTCGTGCTCACACTCACACCTGGGGACAATTTGGAGTGTTCAGTCAGCCTGTGATGCATGTCTTTGGAATGGGGGAGGAAATCGGAGTACCCGGAGAAAACCCACGCAGGCACGGCGAGAACATGCAAACTCCACACAGGAAGGCCGGAGCCGGAATCGAACCCTGCGCCTGTGCACTGTGAGACAGACATGCTAACCAGTGCCGTCCCGCAAAATAAATCTCATAAAATTCACAAGACTTTAATATTCCAACCTGGAGATCACAGAAGCATTGCCTAGTTTTTCTCAAAAGCACAACACTAGCCACGACGTCCGCTCATAAGTAGCTGAGCTTCGCTGTGTTCATTTACGGACAATGCGTGTGGCTGGAGCGTGAAGCAGTTGACAGGGCTCCCGCGGATCCTTAAAAAGTCAAAAAGGCATTGAATCCACAAATCTAAGAACAAGGCCTTAAGTTATTTGGACTTACTGGCTTCCAGTATTAAAATTATCTTAAATCTTTTTTTTTTTTTGTGTTATGGAATTTGTGCGTCTGGTCCTCATCCTTAACGTAACGTAGCTGACTTCAATATATTCCGGACTATAAACCGCTGTTTTCTCACAGGTTTTTGAACCCTGTGAATTAAACACCGATGTGGCGAATTTATGGATTTTTACCAGCTAACAAGCTTCATGCTGCCAATATTTTCTTGGTTGTGTTTGACAATGAAGGGGTGTCCCATTTCTCAGAAGGGTTGGTCTTCCATCAGGGAATGGCACAGCTTCCAAGGTGTATATATAGCCTGCGAATGAGCACGGTGCAGCCTGATTTGGGATCAAGCCTTCTCGCGTGACATCACAGAAATGTGTCAGCCATTTCCAAAGTTGACCGAGTGTGTCTGACATGAGAGCTTTGTGAATTGGCTCTCTGATGAGACTTGCTTTGGAAACCCACTTTTATACAAAACACAACATCGTGCAAGACATATTTACGGTTGTTGGCTTGTTCTCCGCGCCTACCGGTTTTGGTGCAAAAAATCATGACAGCCGAAACTGATAGCAATGTAAGAGAATTTCAATCCATCCATCGATCCATTTTCTGATACGCTTTTCCTCACAAAGGTTGCTGGGCGTGCTGGAGCCTATCCCAGCTGTCTTCGGGCGGAGTACACCATGAACTGATTGCCAGCCAATCGCAAGGCACATATAGCCAAACAACCATCCGCTCTCACACTCACACCTAGGGGCGACACGTGAACAGGTTGACCACCGGGCCACCAGAGAACTTCCCTTTACACAAAAAAAAAAAATGTGTCTGACCACAGGAAATTCTAGTTGTCAGCGACGGGAATCGAACCGGGAACAAGGGGGGAAAAAGGCCGCTCTATCCTTTCCTCCCTTCAAATTTGATTTATTCCCGAAGGTTGGCCCTCCTGGTAACGGGCTTCCAAGGGACGAGAGGCCTCGAGTGAGAGAGAGAGAAGAAAATGGGGGAGCGGGCGGCCCCCGCCGCCGCTCTCCCTCTCCCTCGCCCGCTCGCACACACGCTTCCTCCCTTTTTCCTATTTTTCGCGAGCCGACCACTGAGAGAGATTCGCCTAGGATCTAACTGCCTCCAGTCTTTATTTTATTAAAAATAATTTTTTATTCAGTAAATATAAAACTGAGTTTGCGAAGCCAACCCCGTCTTCCTCCGTTCCGCCTTCGTCCCCGACGAGTAACCGCGACGGAGCGGGCGCTGCTCTTTCACGGCAGACCGCTAACATATCATTTCAGAGTCGGAGAACGGCGGAGCGGACGCTGCGCTTTTACGGCAGCTCCCTCTCATCATTTTTTCACGCTGTTGCAATTGGTATCACACCTAGGTTAAAGTTTAATCACCGTTGTTACAGTCATTAGGGTTTGTCATTTTCATAGGTTTGGGCATAACCTAAAAGCCGGAGTAAAACGCTTTTAAACCTTCGCGCAAATGGAATCACATACGGAGGCCTCGGCGTCGAAGCCTCCCTGCCGTTCACACTTTTATTAACAGGAGGGTGTGATGGAGATAAATTCTTAATTATCTTATAAGAGAAAACAAGGACTAGAGCGTTTATAATCAACGGGTTTTTAATGTGATGTTCATTCTCACATGATGCGGACCAGCCGTCGCTGGTATGTCACAACTGCGCTCCCGAACAATCATCACAACCTTTAATATTGATTACATTTTTTCTCATTCCAATCTCCCAAGATAATAGAATATATCATGATTTAAATGTCAAATCAAAAAAGGGTAAAAATAGAAAAAGGGGAATAATATAAAAGGATATAATTAAGTGATCGCTTTTTCATGTCTATCATCGGTATGCCTCTCACAGATTGATCAGGTCCCGAAAAGCTCCCGAGGTTCAGCTTGCCTAATTTTTCACAGGTTGTCCGAAATTTGATTATTCTCATCCGCTTTATCATTTTTTAATACCACAATTTCGCGGGCGAAGCACCATTTACCTAGTGGATTCTGATCGCCTACAGTTTCCCAGGCAAGGTCGTATCAGGTCAGGTTACGCAATCTTTCCTGGTGGGAACTGAATTTTCTCTGGTGAGAATTTCTGGTGAGAATTTCTGGTGGGAATTTCTGGTGGGAACCAACTGAAGGGAACTCCCTTTCCAGGCGGGGCTGAATCAGAGCAGGCTCTGAGATCTCAGTCGATGTTCACTTGAGTCGACCGGGGGCAGCGTCTGTATGCTGTTTCAGCCTCCCAATGATAGACAGTCTTTTCATGTAGCATTTTGCAGCGGGGTTATCATGTATATACATAGACATGTTGCTTGCCCATCTCTCTCGTAGGCGCTTAGGTTCTCAACCCATAATTTTTGTTACACATCATATGACATTACTTGGAGAGAAAGTAATCAGTCATAAGGTAATACTCTTCACTCAAAGCAGTTTCAAAAGCATTGCATAAGCATTTGATTAATATCTTTGTTCCTTTATAATGTCATCTTATAATGACTGGCTAAATAAAAAGGAAAACAAGAAGAAAAGGAGCGCTTCATTTTCTTAAACATTCTTTAAACTTAGTCGATTTTTTATCAGCTGACAATTTCCGTAATTATTTCATAAGGCTTTTCATAAGGCATTGACTCTGGCATGTACTTGTAACCGATATTACTATTTATTTTAGTTCACCCATGGTTCAGGATTTGTGGAGCTGACCGGGGACAGCTCCTGTATGCTGGTTCAGCCTCCCAATGACAGACAGTCTCTTCATGCAGCATTTTGCAGCGTGGTTATCATGTATATACATAGACATGTTGCTTGCCCATCTCTCTCGTAGGCGCTTAGGTTCTCAACCCATAACTTTCGTTACACATCATATGACATTACTTGGAGAGAAAGTAATCAGTCATAAGGTAATACTCTTCACTCAAAGCAGTTTCAAAAGCATTGCATAAGCATTTGATTAATATCTTTGTTCCTTTATAATGTCATCTTATAATGACTGGCTAAATAAAAAGGAAAACAAGAAGAAAAGGAGCGCTTCATTTTCTTAAACATTCTTTAAACTTAGTCGATTTTTTATCAGCTGACAATTTCCGTAATTATTTCATAAGGCTTTTCATAAGGCATTGACTCTGGCATGTACTTGTAACCGATATTACTATTTATTTTAGTTCACCCATGGTAGGATTTGTGGAGCTGGCTTCTCGTTGCATTAGGATCCCTCTGTTCCCCTCTAGTGGTCGAATTAGGAATTTGTCTCAGGACTTAAACCATCCAATTCCATTTTCTCAATTTTGTGTTCTATCTCCTGCCTGACGAGGCGCGTTACCTTGACACAGTCTATCAAATTACGATGCGGACAATACTTGACTTTCTGAGCGTGGATACCAGCAAATCAGGGGAGCGTATAATACATGCGTACAGAGAGAGAAAAAAAACATCTTTCAGGGAATTTATGCGGTACGTGTCAATTAAAAAAAAAAAACTTTCTGATTAACATCATTCTGTGTACATATCACATGTTGCAGTATAGGGTTTGTGGTCATTCATTATCCTCATTGCAGCCTAAATATGCATTTTTTTTTTTTTTAATTTAGTGGGTGAGCTTAATACTCAGGTGCGCTTAATAGTCCGGAAATCATGGTCCCTGCGTCCATTATCAAATTGTCACATTTTGTCACGCTAAATGTGCTCTTTCCAACACATGTTTACAGGAACTGATCATCTTTGATACAAACAGGTCCGCTGACCTGGTTGTGTGTCACTTTGCTGAAGAAGTGGATCAAATTGTTTGCCTTCTTCCGGTAAGGTATACACACAAATAGACATGTTTTATTTTGTCATTTTTCTTGCCTCGTTGGCTTGATGACATTTTGCAAGACCACTCGCGAACAACCAAATCTACTTTTCATCGAGTATATTTTACTTGATGACAACTTAACAACTGAATAATTTGAGAAGAATACAATTACAGATTTCCCAAAGCATTTTAAAAGACAAAATGCACTGATATTGTCAGCTTGCAGAATTCAGACAATGGCCTACGAATGGTTGTCATCCATATATTAAACCCATTCTTAATGATTGTTAGCAGTTGGTTTTAAGTCTGCACAAACAGAAGTGCAATATATCGAAACAGTTTGATACACTTTGGTAAAATCCTCTGATGCAAATAGGAAAGCTTGCTCAAGTTCCTTTTTTCTTTCCTGTTTTCATAGGATGGCGAGCTGCATTTCAAGTTTTTGAGCTCATTCATGGAGTCATGGTCTGTTTGGTTCTTCTCATACAAAGCTTTTTCCATATTTTCATTTCACTGAGCACGCAACAGTTTTTTCAATGTATTATAATTTTTTTTTAGGGAACGCCATTATCCGGGGACTTCCCCTCCATTGGAACATGATCTGCACACGCATCTACTGGACCTGATGTGCCGTTTTGCCCCCCAACAGCTCTTGAGTTTCCTCCAAACCTCACAGCACTATAAGTTGGAGGAGGCCATACAAGTATGAACATCTGTGTTTCTTGTTCATCGGTCAAAGATTTAAATGTTACACATTGACATTAATGGACAAAAGTGTTTGGCCTCGTGATCACTGCAATTACAGAAAGTGAAAATGGAAGAAAAACTGCTGAGAGAGGTGCTGGGCCCACATGGTGGGCTTGAAATCGGGGTTTTGTGCATGTTCCAAAATTCATCTGAGCATGCGTTTATGGACCTAGCTTGTCATACTACAACAGAAAAGAGCTTTCCCCATACTGATCTGACTAAGTCAGAATGATACAGTTGTCGAAAAGTAAAACAGATCAAGAGGATTCAACAGGAAATGAGTGGTTAAGTCCATCTCATTTGATTATTCAGTTGATGTGTGCCTAGATACTTTTGTCTTTAAGCCGTGAATGAGATTCCAATGTCAAACAGGACATGGCTTAGTGATGTTTTGGAATCCTGTATAGGGAATAAGATGAGCGGCGCATGCGGGGGAGCAAAAGGTGTCAAAATTAAATTGTGCCGTTTCTAATTGATCATTCCCTGCCCTGGTATTAGAAAGAAGAACCTTGTCTTTTGGAAGTATAATCATGATCATACAAGGAAACCCAGGTTATAGCATTAAAAAAAAAAAAAAAAAACAGCATCCATTTACCTCAAGTCTATTAAGAGCGAGTGGAGCATGTTTTAAAGAAAGCTCTATAGAACGGTGTAACTTTACCACAAAAGTCTGGCATTCATCGCAACCTTAAAATTAGATACAGCAATCCCTCGTTTATCGCGGTTAATGGGGACCAAAACCACCCCCGATAAACGAAAATCTGCAAAGTAGCGACCAATTAACATATACAGGTAAAAACTTTTTTTTTTTTTTTGCAAAAAGTCCACAAACAGTCCGGGAGAAGCTGCAAAGCAACAGCGAGTCACACAGAGCAACATATACAGTACTGCACTCCATGTATATGGACAATGTTTTATTGATTTATTTATTTTTAATGAACGTTTGAAAAAATCCGCATGCACCGAATCCGCGATAAACGAACCGCGAAATAGCAAGGGATTACTGTACATGCAGAAATTATCCATAGACAGAGAAATTCAATGATTAAGTATGTAGGCTGGAGGTGATCAACATTTTTGATCGGCAAATGTCTTAATTTTAAAGTAGGGTTTGTTTTGAAAATTCTGTCGTAACAGAAATGTGAATCATTCATATGATTCTATTCATTTTTTTTAACTTGATGTGCATAATAATTTGGAACTTATTTTTCATGAGGAGGAAAATACTGTTAGTTTAATAGTTTTTTTTTAATACTGTAGCCTTACTTTATTATTGATGTTTGTAAAATGTATCTGACGTAGACACTGTGGTTCTCAACCCTTTTCCACCAAGTACCACTGCAAGAAAATACTGAGCTGTCTAAGTACCACAATTAAAACATCAATAAAAAGGTAGACTTTTATTTCCAAATCGTATATTCAGAAAATCACTGAAACATAATGCACAGCTATTACCGTAAATTCCGGATTTCAAGCCGCTTTTTTTCCACCCTTTCAACACTGCGGCGTGTAATATGAAGCGGCTTTTTAATTTTTTTTTTTCCATCGCGGGAAAAACATGGACCAATAAAATGAATGAGTCTTTCACTGAGGTCCAGTGAGATTAGATTGTATGACTAATCACAACTTCCGCTCTTTTTTAGGGGGCGGGGGGGAATGTGTTACCCGGCAACAGTCGACCAATAAAATGAATGAGTAGTACACAGGGGTCCAATGAAATTGTATGATTACTGGTAATCACAACTTTCTTATTTCAGTCTTTCTTCTAACCCTGATCAACATGGAGAATACCAGACGAAAAGCATATGATGCAGCTTTTAAACCAGGGGTGTCAAACATACGGCCCGCGGGCCGGATCCGGCCCGCAAAGGAGTTTAATCCGGCCCGCGAGATGATTATGTAAAGCATGGTGTCAAACATACGGCCCGCGGGCCGGAACCGGCCCGCAAGGAGGTTCAATTAGGCCCGCAGGATAATTTAAAAGTGAAAAAAATGCATTAAAGACAGAATTAATATTTTTAATAAGGTGCAATTCATTGAGTATCCGCAAGGGGACACTGTTTTGATCAGAGAAGAAGACAACAGCAGCCTCAGTCCGTCACTGTGACAGACCCATGACAGCAGACGCTATCAATAGCACTCTCACATTTACACATTTAATAGCACTCTCCTTAGTTTGTAAGATTACATTTAGATTTTATATGCACGTGTAAATGGTTTAAAACTTCCTTTCT